GAGACACTAGTCAAAAGGGGCGGAGAGATATCAGGGGAGGACAGAGAGATTAGTGTGTCATTGTGTGTCATTCGCATATAAGTGATATTGGAAGCCAAAGGAGCTGATGAGTTTACCAAGGGAGGCAGTGTAGATCTAGAACAGTGGGGGAGCCAGACCCAGAAAAAGAAACACTAAAGGGGTGCTGGGAGAGGTAGGAGGAGCACCAGGTGAGAGCAATATTTTGTAGACCGAGATTATGGAGGATGAGAAGAAGCTGTTGATGATCAGTATCAAAAGCAGCGGAAAGGTCAAGGAGAATTAGAATAAAATAGTGAACATGAGATTTTGCAGTGAGTAGATTGTTTGATACTTTAGTCAGAGCTGTTTCCACAGAGTGCTGAGTGCGGAAACCAGATTTAAGTGGGTCGAGCAGAGAGTTGGACTCGAGGAAGTCTGTCAATCTCACATACACAAGTCTTTCAAACATCTTGGATACAAAGGGCAGTAGCGAGATAGGGTGGTAGTTGGACGGGGAGTTAGGGTCAAGGCTGGGCTTTTTTAGCATCAGATTACAGTTGCATGTTTGATGAGTAATGGAAATTTGCTGGGGGAGAGGGAGAGATTGAAAATTTTAGTGAGAGGCAAAGCAAGAGAAGGAGTCAGAGTACAGATGAGATGCAAAGGAATAGGATCAAGGGAGAAGGTGATGGAGAATGGTCTTTTAAAAATACAAGTATTTGTACAGGAAGGAAGAAGCATCCTTTTCCATTGTGATGTCACTGAGCAGAGGGGTGAACTTTATAGCTGCAGTCATTTTTGTAACTTTAAATAACTGAACAAATAGTGATTGGGTTATGGAGTTCCAAAGGTGAAAACAAGAAAGGAGTGTCACTTTATTATGACATTTACTAAGAATATACAAAAGTACAATAATCACTCATGATCATGTTAAACAAACTATAGATTAGACACAAAACCTAGAGAAAGCTATTTTAGGGGTTTTAAATATGAAACATATAAAAAATATATTTCTCTTCATTCTTTTGACTTTCCCTTTTAGAATATACAGCATAATCACAAAGCTGGCACCTGTGTATTTCCACTGAACCTTGGCTGCTTTCAACAGAATAAATTCAAACAGGCACATATTAAGAAAAGGAATGCCAGGGCAATCTCTGGACTATAAAACACCAGGAATTATATGTGTGTATTTAAGTTCTGACACATATCAGTCCCGAATGGGATGAAAACACATAAAAGAATAGTGATAATTTAGCACTTTGTTATTTTATAATAAATATACTTGTTTCTTATTAGATATACTGGGGAATTCAGATATATCAAAATACCTGTAACGGTAGAAGGAATGTGTGGTGCAGAACAAATAGTTTTTTGGCTCACATACAAGAGATATCAGTAGATATTTATGTGTAGACTAGTGTTTTTTTCCCCCACAATATTTGTTTTTAAGTCATTTCCTTACTTGGAAACTGGAATATAGTACTAATTACCAAGTTATTTAAAAAAAAAATATAGGAAAAGAATACAGCATATTAACATATGCGCATATAAAGCACAAATTAAGTAAAATATTTTTTTTTTTGCTGAACTTTTCTAAATAAAAAAACATCCATTGAACCTGCCTTCTGCAAGACACCCTGTGGCTAAAAACAATAGACCACCTGGTTATATTCTAAAAGTATTTACAGAGAACAAAAAAAAATAATATTAATTAGAATAATAGAAAAACAACATAATCATTAGGTGACAACTAGCACTTATGAAAAGCTGTATTAGTCTTTACCATCTCTGGTGGGAGTCTAATCCTTATTTAAAGAGGAACTGTCAGAATATAATATAATCTTTAATTGTCCTCTATTTTTAGAAAATCAGCTTTTGCAAGTTCAGAAAAATAAAAATTTGGAAACTGGAAACTTCATCTTTGCTACTTGTCAATTAGACTCGTGCACAATTCCTGTTCAGCTGTGATGAATGAATCAAATGCCCGTTATTTGCTGGATGAACGAATCGATTTGTTTGGCAAATCAAGAAAGAAACTCAAGTGTCCAGTGATTAACAGGCATTTTGTTCATTCTGCAAATCTACTGTCAATCTTTGTTATAAATGTTGCCCTTTTTTGCCTTTCACCATATTTAGTGGAAGAAGAGAGAATTAAACAGTTTTTCAGTTCTCCTTATTGCATTGTGGGCTCTGGGTGTGCATGGATTGAATTGGATTGTCATATCAATTTTCAGCATCACATTGAAAAAATGTCTACATAAGTAATAAGTAGAGTTGAGCGAACCCAAACCGCAAAGTTCAGGTTCGTACCAAAGATTACGGTTTTTGGACCCCGGACCTGAACATGGACATTTCAGTGTATGTTCAGGTTGGAGTTCGGTGTTCGGCGATTTAATGGCGTGTTTTGAAAGGCTGCAAGGCAGCCAATAAACAAGCGTTTGACTCGTTTGCCCTTAGAAGCCATCACAGCCATGCCTACTAATGGCATGGCTGTGATTGGCCAGTGCAGCATGTGACCCAGCCTCTATATATAAGCTGGAGTCACGTAGCGCCGCACGTCACATAAGCTCTTATTAGTGTAGGGACAGGATGCTGCCGCTGTGAGGGACAGCTTAGGAAAGAATTCTGGTGTTGAATCTGTAAACTACAGCGATTATTGAAACTACAGCGATTATTCAAACTACAGTGATTATTTTAGTGGGTGCTAACTACATTTTTGTACCCTGCCCTGAGCCCAGTGCCACAGAGAGTGCTGTGAACTTTCAACTGCATGTGTGCCAGGCACATGACTTTAATCCTGTTCTGGTAGCTCAGTGGGCAACATCTAGGCATTTTTCAATACTGCAATTTTTTGGGTGCTAAATAGTACATTTGCGTACTGCATTTCTTGCAGTCTAATAAAACCCTTAAATACTACTGTTACATTGTTGGTTTAAAAAATCACACTTTTTTGTGCTAAATAGTACATTTACGTCCTGCGGTGCACTTCATATCTGAGAGTAAAATAGAACTGTCAAATACTGTGCTTACAGCTCACTTTGAAAAATTCTAGTAGTTTTGGGTGCTAAATAGTACATTTGCGTCCTGTGGTGCACTTCATATCTGAGAGTCAAATAGCACAATTTTTTGTGCTAAATAGTACATTTGCGTCCTGCGGTGCACTTCATATCTGAGAGTAAAATAGAACCGTCAAATATTGTGCTTACAGCGCACTTTGAAAAATTCTAATAGTTTTGGGTGCTAAATACTACATTTGCTTCCTGCGGTGCACTTCATATCTGAGAGTCAAATAGAACCGTCAAATACTGTGCTTACAGCGCACTTTGAAAATTCTAATTGTTTTGCGTGCTAATGCTAAATAGTACATTTGCGTCCTGCGGTGCACTTCATATATAAGAGTCAAATAGAACCATCAAACACTGTGCTTACAGCGCACTTTTAAAAATTCTAATTGTTTTGGGTGATAAATAGTACATTTGCGGCCTGCGGTGCACTTCATATCTGAGAGTCAAACAGAACCATCAAACACTGTGCTTACAGCGCACTTTTAAAAATTCTAATTGTTTTGGGTGCTAATGCTAAACAGTACATTTGCGGCCTGCGGTGCACTTCATATCTGAGAGTCAAATAGAACCGTCAAACACTGTGCTTACAGCGCACTTTTAAAAAATCTAATTGTTTTGGTTGATAAATAGTAAATTTGCATCCTGCGGTGCACTTCATATCTGAGAGTCAAATAGAACAGTCAAATACTGTGCTTATAGCGCACTTTTAAAAATTCTAATTGTTTTGGGTGCTAAATAGTACATTTGTGGCCTGCGGTGCACCTCATATCTGAGAGTCAAATAGAACCGTCAAATACTGTGCTTACAGTGCAGTTTGACCCATTCAAATTTTTGGGGTCATAAAAAGTAAATTTGGGGTGTGCACTTCATATCTGAGAGTCAAATAGAACCGTGAAATACTGTGGTTACAGCGCAGTTTGACCAATTCAAATTTTCTTGGGTGCTAAATAGTACATTTGCGGCCTGCATTTCATATCTGACAGTCAATAGAGCCTTAAAATACCAATATAACAATATTGTAATTCGGGGGCAATACCCTCACAAGTCAAACTGAGAGGTCAGTTTATAGGGAAAACTGTTGCCTGGATACAATTCTAAAACAATTCCCATAAGTCCTTTGCAGAGTTTACATGCTGGAAAAACACAGGTGCCAACTGCTGTGGCTTTCTGCAGTGTGCAGACCGGCAAGGAGGGCAGGGTTGAGGAGTGGGTGGAAGATGATGTGGAGGATGATGAGGTCCTAGACCCCACATGGAATCAAGATCATGCGAGTGACGTGTGCAATTTGGAGCACAGCATAAGAGGGAGCAGGGTGCAAAAGTGGAGCGGCCGTCCCCTAATGCTCGTCGGCATGTATTAGCTCGAAAATGACCACAGTTATCAAAGTAACAGATGGAGCAATATAAGGATCCATAATAGAGTTGAGCGAACCCGAACTGCAAAGTTCGGGTTCGTACCAGATTTAACGAGCCATTCGAAGTTTCACATTCAGGGCTGCAGTCCTGTGACCGGAACCCAGACACTGTCTAGGCGGCGGTCGGACGACCTGGACCCAATATGCCTGATGTTGAAGTTAGGAGTCACAGTGTGGAATGGATTAGCAGGGTCTGGTGCAGGGTAACCGCACGCCCCCTGGTGTTGAACACCAGCGTTTGTGCGGCCACATACCAGGACCCTGATGCAGCTTCAGTAAACAGAGTACTGGATACCAGAAGCCATCACCAGACTAATCAGCAACTTGGAACAGGATGTGACATTCACTGTAGCAGCTGTGCGCGCTTTCGGCGTTCTCACCCTGCTGCTCGTCTGCGCTGCAGCCTAACTTTGGCCTTCCTGCTCTCTGCCTCATATGCAACATGCCCACAAGGTAGAACTCCACCTTGCACATGCTGGAGAGACCGTGCGAGCAGTCGGGAGTGGGTAATTTACGCGCCTGCTACCTTCCTTGGATGTGGTAGCCGTTTCTCAGGCTCCCTCTACGGAATTGAACCCTGATTCCCCATTACCCGTGGTCACCATGGTAGGCGCAGAAAGTCCATCGAAAGTTGATAGGGCAGACATCTGAATGTGTCGTCGTTGTCATGAGGACGTGTGATTGGCCCGAGGTTCTCTAGAGTCACCAAAGTGCCTGCGCAACTATAATGTCGACAGCTACTCTGCCTAACGGATCTTCACTAATGGGTAGGGGATGGAGGGGGGCCATGTGCCGGTCCCTTCTCTTCCCCACTCTCTGGCAGACATCTGGCAGTACTGCCTCAGATCCTGAGAGATGCCTGTCCAGAAGAAGCTGTGGGTGAGCCGAGACGCTGTCCGGCTCCTGGCCAAATGCCCTGCCAAGGGGATATCATGAGCTAGCTTCAGCTCTCACCAGCCGTATCGTTTGGGAGCCCATTGAAAAAGTGCTCTAGCATGACAAGCTGGGTGATCTCCTCCGGGAACTTGAGTTGAGACAATTCTGGGTGGCCCTTGTGATGCGGCATGCCCACTCCACATGGGAGTCCTTCTCCCCTTTCCGGGTTTCCCTAAACTTTCGGCGGTATTGCTCAGGGGTGACTGCATACCGGGCCAGGAGGATTTGTGTAATAAAGGGATAGTCTCTGATCTGCTCTTCTGGTACAGCCCGGTAGATATCCGCTGCCTTCCCCACTAGTTTGCTGGCCAGGATGGTGACCCAGTCGCTGGGGTCCACATCTTGAAGAAGGCACTGGCGCTCAAAGTCTTGTAAAAAGTAATCAATGCCTTCCTCTGCTTCCTTGAACTCTTTGAAGGCATTGTATGGTAGCTTGTGGGCCAGGGTGGTTGTGCTTCCCAGTGCCCTCTGCTCCCTTCTTCCTTCATCTGGATTCATGGAGGTCGCCCTCTCTCTATTGGCAAGGACATAGGCTTGCACCTCCAAAAAGGTCCTGCTGACAATCTCCTCTGAGGGTGGCTCTCGGTTTATTAATAAACAGTTTACGTAATGGTTATGAAACAATTTTATTTATTAAAAAAACAAAAAAAAACTAATTAAACAATTGTCATTATATTCATTAATTTATAAATGTGTGAATATTTCATGTTTTGTGGTTCTTTCAGATTGCAGCAAGTGTTCTTGCCCTAGTATACCTCTCAAAATTAACCAGTGCACAGCTCTGTTTGTTATTTGCATTATATGGTGTGTGCACACACAAACATACACAAAAATATTCATCAACATCAAATATTTATCCACAACAAAATATTTTGCTAAAAAGTGAAATTTGCCCCCCTGGGCATAAATATTTATTTATAAATTATGAATGTTTATAAACAAATATATATCAAAGCGATATACTATTCGCAAAGAAAGGAGGATTTTCTACCAAATAATCACCTGATCCTGAAAAAAAAGACACTGTGCTAGGGCAACTTCCATTGGTAGAAAGATAAAAACACACAGGGACAGTATTCAGAAAATAAATACCATTTAGCAAACAAGAAAAAGCCTCTTTATCCAAACAATATTCACATTTTAAATGTCCCAGTTTAATGTGCAGCTGTTTCTGCTCATGTATTCTTCCTGTATTTAAAAATAAAACATCTGGGAAAAAGTGCACAAGTGAGAAAGCACCAAGTACATTCAGTGTCTCCACCCTCTGCTTTTCTAAGGTAAAGCATTGTGATTGGCTCGGATGATCACTTATGATGATGTCAGCCAAGGAAGAAGATTAGGGGCAGATCAAGCAGCAGCAGACTGAAATAAAGGCAAGATTTTACTATATTTAGGAGAACCAGGGTTTTTAACACTACAGGGTCAAGAATGCATGCTTCAGAGCTCTTTAGAAAACTTTACTTTTGACACTCGGTGAGTTGTATACTGCTGGCATGCATGGCTTCATTTCCAACCAGTTGTAGAGATTGCCATGAATCCGGGGGGCCCTGTTGACTATCAGTGGATTTAATTTGTACTGAGCACTTTCTCACAAGTGCCAGTGTGAAGGTGAACTACATGTGAGTACCCTTACTTGGTGGTAAGATCATTTTAAAATTGTTATGATTAATTTAATAAATACCAAACTATAAGGGTTATTTGATTGTGCTTTATTCCAGATTACTGGCATATGTATCACTTTCTATAAACGTGACAATGTTATTGCTTTGCTCATTTTACAATATGTGTAACTTGGCAAATTAATCCAGTTATTAATAAAAAAATTATTGTGAATACACCTTTAAAGCTATCCCTTCTAACTTTTTTCTGCATAGAATCAACATAAACTAAAATATGATTATTTTTACAAGTTCTCAATGTTATCTTATATTTTGTGTTTATGATAAATGTGCAAACATTTTTAAACTTCTGAGACTCTCATTCTGTAGAGGGCAGCCTTGTTTCAACTTAGAAAGCCTAACCTGCTTTATTTCACAAAAGGATATTCTGTCATGTCTAAAACTATATGGAGCATATTAAAATCAGAGATTCCATGTGTGGAACAGTGTGAAAGAAACAGGTAAGCTATTGCTTCTACAAATAATATTTACATTTTTAGTTTTGAACTAACAATTATGTGACCAATCTTTTGTCTAATCTTCATGTGATTTTTGTGTTGTAGTCAAATTCACAATCCCTGGTGAGCTAATAAAAAGATTTTAAAATTACATTATTAAAGGATTACTGATTTACAGATAGAAATCTTTTTTTTTTTTTGCTTCACTCTGCGTTGTATGTAAGTCACCTTTCTCAACAACATAATTCATTCTTGATGCAGATACATGTTGTGTTCTTAAATTCAATAAACTATGTAACTTCTTCAGAATTGAAAAAATAAATCATGAGTACTATGTATAAAACAAATGTTTAGCAGATGTGGACTTATTTATTGTGTGTAATCAAATAATCAGTTAATTAAAGGGCCCATCCAAATGACCAACGAACTTGCATGCAAATTACATTTAGAAGTAAAACTACCTACTTATTTCAGTGTGCATGCTGAAAGTTATTCAGTTTATTCAAGAAAAAATCTCTGCAAGTAAATTTGCATTTTGCCCCACCTTCAGTTTCTATTTTCAACTCCAAAACAAATTGTTAGTGGCAAAGTAAAGATCAAGTCATTTTGTTGTAAAGTATTATCAAAAACACTCATGTTAAAGTAATGTGCATTGCACATTACTGTAAATGCCACAGTGGTTTCCAAAGATAAACTGTAAAGTTTGTACATGATAGTGCCTGTAACATGGGACAATACTGATTGGCTAAAAGAGTCAGCTACTTGCTTGTTGCTACCAAGTAAACAGAAACAAAAACAAAAGCGGGCAAACTGCTAGGCTATGTTTGTGTTTGGTTTCAGGTCAGTTACCTTATAAAAGTTTACATTGCAGGAGACACTGTAAAGCCTTTAATTTGTACCTTAGACAATCATAAATGTAACCCCTTAAGGACACATTATATGTGTGACATGTCATGATTCCTTTTTATTCCTGAAGGGTGGTGCTTAAGGGGTTAAACATGGTTACTCAATGGACTTTAGGCAATGTTACAGGGTTGTGAAGAGAATGTTATCTCCACATGTGGTGAATTTATCCACAAATTGCATAATTGTTGCACGATATATATTCAATCTAACTTTGCATTGTCTGATTTGAGGGTGGTTATTCTCAAAACTAAATACAAAGACCCATCCTTTCTATCTCTTTTATTTATCTACCCTCTATTAATATTATTATTATTTATTTTTTTATATATAAAACTCCAATTTATTCTGTTACGCTGTACAATAGGTAAACTAACTCATAAGTATGTGTTGACCACACAGGAACAGAGGGTGATGAGGGCCATGCTCCAATGAGCTTACATTCTAGAGGGAGTGGGGCAAAGTGACACAATAGGTAAAGGTAGGATGTACAGGAAAAGTAGGTTGCTAGATTAGTTTACGCTGAAGGCAATTTTTTTAGATCACACAGTTACAGGAGAAGAAGCAAGGTGAAATTGCCAAAGAGTGGAGAGGAGAAGCTTTTAACAATTTGATTGGTGTGCTTTTCTAAATAAGTCAGTTTTCAAAATGTTTTTTGAAGGAATGGAAACTGGGTGAGAGCAAGAAATGGTTTTCCATAGGAAAGGTGCAGCCCTAGAAACGTTTTAAAGGTGGACCTCAGAGGTGTGAGTACAAACAGAGGACAGGCACAGGTCTTCGACAGATCATAGGGGCTTGGATGGGACACACTTGAGTGTTAGTGAGGGTAGGTAGAATGGAGTCATGTTATGTAGATATTTTGAAGCAAGTACTAGAAATTTAAATTGATATATATATACCCTATATACCCTATATAGAAACCAGTGGAAGGACTGACAGAGGGGGAAGTGTGGAAAGTGCAGACTGACAGCAACATGAGACTCACTTCAGCATTCCTTATAGACTGTAGGGAGCAAGATGGGAATGCAAAAGATCAGTGAGAAGTGGATTGCAATAGTCAATATGAGAGATGATACTGGCATGGGCTAGCACCTTAGATGCATCTAGCGTTAATGCGAGCTATATCTGGCTGGTGATTGACTGGACATGATGGGTGAAGGATAGGTTGGAGTCAAAGAGAACTCCTAGGAAATGAACCTGTGACATAAAGTTGATCATAGTGCCATTGACTTGGAGGGAAACTGACATGGGGGTAGCACTGCTTGAATAAGGAAAGATGATATGTTTTGTTTTGGACAAATTGAGTTTAGGGATGTGAGCAGCCATGTAGATAAAAATTGCAGAGAGGCAGTCCAAGACAATAATCAAGAAGGACTGTGAGAGATCAGGAGAGGACAGATAGATTTGTGTTTCATCTGCATAGCAGTGAAATAAGGAGCTGATGAGTTTACCAAGGGGGGTAGTATAGATTGAGAACAGTAGGGGACCAAGGATAGAACCTTGAGGAACATCAATAGAGAGGGATTACAGATAAGAAGAAGAGCCAAAACAGGGACCACTAAATGATTGTTAGAAGTGGTAAAAGGAGAACCAGGAAAGAGCTGGCAAGGGATCACAGAACAAACCGTTAGACCATTACCTTTGTGTGAAATCAAATCTTTTTAAGGTATAGACTCCAATATCAACTACATGTGTCACCATAAAGGTGTAAAGACTATGTATATTATTTCACTACATAATGTCATCAAGTTGTGTCTGTCTTTATCAGTTGACAGCAGATTTCTGTGAATCTCTCAGCTGACAGCAAGTGATTGAGCC